AAATCGACGAATTATCATGCGTTCGCGGCGATCGCGAAACGTGTATTTATGAAAGCTAGTGTACGCGCATATATGTGGATCTCGCGGCGTTGAATGCCTGCGAGGCTGTCGATGAAGACTCCAGAGGTTTACGTGTTCGACGACAGCCGGCAACCCGGAGGAAACGAATGGCGCGGGAAAAAGGAAAGGGTCGTTGGAGCGCGTATTTCCACCCTGCCGCCTCCATCGTGAACGCTAAAATACATTTTCCTAGCAAGTGTCGTCGCGGGAGGAGGCCTCCGCAGCTGCTGGTCGTGATATTCTACATGCGTAATGCTCGCGAGGATATTTCCATACATAAATTTCGGCCCGGGAGAAAGTAGGCGGCGGGCTGTGCGCGGTTGCACACGTCGACGCTGATGACGACGCGTCTTCGCGACGTGCTCGAGAATCCGTCCGGTGATCGCGCGTTCTCCCCGCTTTCCCGCCGGATCATTATTCTTTGTTGCTGCGACGCGAGTCTTTCGAGAGGCGTCGCGTTATCGCGCGCCAGAAAACCGCATCACGACGTGGTTGGCAAATGTTTTCTGCCGGTTGGCGCAGGTTACCACGAGTTTGTTCTCCGTGTCGTCTCCGAACGAAAAAGTTCTCGGCAAAACGCGAGTATTCGTAAAATACGTGCGCAAGTACGTAGAAATCTCGCTGTTTGTATAATATATACAGAAGGATAGAATTAGCGATTTCTTTCTACATGAAAAATTTCAGACTTTCCCCGAATCGGAGATCAAGTATTTCAACGCGTACATTTTGTAAATTCACATCTCTGAGAATACGAATTCAAAGACTAGAACGTTGGTGGAAAGTCGTTTTACGCAGCAGATATATTATCTCATTTTTTTCTTTTTTTTCTTTTCACACTGCTCGCATCCTGTGCAATTTTAAAGTTTCCTTTAAAATCACTCCGGTGATAAGCTTAACTTCTAAGAATAAACGACGAGAGAGTTGCTTTAAAAATCAAGCAGCGTTTTATAACAGACACGATCGAACATACATATTTTGTACGAGCATATGTCAAACGACATGTGTGTTTCACTTGCAAACACACACCTACATGGTTGTTCATAGTTACGGTTGTTCTAACGCATCTCTCTCTTGATTGTATCTGAAGCCCATATCTATACGTATATTCTCGCCGTTTATCAGTGGATTCTCGATGCATGCTTGGACCAAGTGCGCCACTTCCTCGCAGGTGCCGTAACGTTTCGGCGTGAGTTTCATGCCGATCCACTTCTTCCTTTCGTCCGGTTTCTGCGGAGCTAGGTTTTTCACCAAACGTTTGAAGCTTTAATTCACAAACTCGACCTTGAGTAAGGTTTGAAAATTTTAAAAATAGATCTCTTTTCAGAGAGAGAGAGTAGTAGATTTTTAACGATTCAAATATTAGATCTCGTCTGAAAGAAAACTCCAACTCGCAAGCAAGACGAATCCCTCATTTCTCCAACTTTCTCTTCTAATTTCACCCTAGATATTGAATTCCTGTTCCAGTAAGAAATTTAACATAATGGCATTGAAAGGATAAATAGTGAAGTTTGCAAAGGCTCTACTATCAAGCACAGGCGTCCAATTTTAAAATCGTAATCTTGCAGATTTTCTAAGGAATATGTCGAGACGAAGGGACGAACGAAGATTAACGTGCAATACAGATTTATAAGACCGATAATAAGGAAAAATTATTAATTTTTACATTCGTAGTCTATTATTGTATTAGCGAACCTGTCATCGGGCTGTCGATGTAACCGGGACAAATACCGATGACGCGTATCCCCTTGGACGCGAGTCCTCTAGCCATGGGCATCGTCATGCCGGAAACGGCGGACTTGGTGCTGCCGTAGGCGACCAAACCGGGCGGCGGTTCGCACGCCATCATGCTCGAGAGATTTATAACGACTCCTCTTTGTTTGTTCGCGTCTGGCTTGTTCTCGGCCATCAAACCAACCATCAAGCGAGTCACGTTGAACAGGCCCCACACGTTCGTGTCGTACAGGCATCTGTACAAGTCCACCGAGTGTGGTTTCTTGTTCTTGAAGTCGTAGATCGGCTCGTAACCAACGACACCCGCGGAATTGATCAGCACGTTCACGCCGCCGAATTTCTCTTTCACGCATTTCATGCTCTCCAGCACGTCCTTCTCCAGCCTAACCTGCAGAGCATTGTATACAAGCACGAACGTAGGGCAACTGCACGTACAATCGCAGCTGATACATTTGTTCCTTGTTAATTTAATGCAAAGGTTATTAGCAACAAAGATTCTCAAGAGATTCTCACGAGGTTCTACAACCTTCTGGAGAAACTCTTCGAACTCTGAAATCCATTCGCTACCTTCGTTCGGTATGAATTGGCGACAGGTCTGTTCGCGGTGAAACGCACGGCGTGATGATAAGAAGACTTACGAGCGATTGAACTTACGTCAGTACACGTAAATAAAGCCTTTTCGCCCAGGCCCTCGGCGACTTTAGCCCCCTTGCAAGATATATCGGCCAGAACCACCTTGGCACCCTGACAATGCATTTTCTGCGCGATAGCCTTCCCGATCCCGTTTGCTCCTCCGGTGATGTAAGCAACTATATGCTGAAATTCGTTCGTCAATAATTCACGGATCCGTCACGTTGCACCAACGATCCTCTAACTCTAATAATCCGTCAATGAAAATTCTATCGCTGTTCAAATCTCCTGGCAGGAGCAACTTTATCCCTGGAATTTATTTCTTGATTTCTAACAGTTTCAGATTTGTTTTTTTTTTATTTTTGGCCGATAGGCGAAGGAAAGTACGTGCAAATTTCTGGGAATGAAAACTTTGACAGAGTCAGACACGAAGAAAGAAGCATTCCAGATGTTGAAGTAGAAAAATTTTGGGAAAAGTTTTCAGTTTAATGAAATAATTATAAGAAAGAATACGATGAGTCGCGAAAAAATTCGAAAAATGTTGAAACGACGTTTAACAAAATTCAGGAAAGATTTAGTTTGCGAAAGTTGCGCTACAGGAGAGAAGATTATTCCCGCATTACCTGGAATTTCCCCATTTTGACATTCCTCGGTTACATTAAACACCAAGGAGAGCGTTGAAATTGAATGTCTCTTGTTTCTTCCCTTCGTTTTCCCCTAAGGAGATTTCAAGTTAATGAGGTACTTTTGAACGTTTTACAAAAAAAAAAAAAAAAAAAAAAAAA